AGCATAATTTTAAATTTCACTTCCAACTTCACCACGAAGGCACAACGGATAAACAACATTACGATGTTGACGTAAAACTAACAATCGAAAATCGCTATTTTTCATGATAGAGCTAAAATATGAGGCAAAATATTGCATTAACAAGATATCGAAATAAGCGCAAAACTATAACGATAGCAAAATCTATGAATCAGGACATAAATACAATGAGAGTATCAAAAAACATTTACTCATGAATACTGAAATTTAGAGAATCTGATTTTTAGGTACATAATTTTATCATGATTTTTACAATAATCATGATACGTGTCAGCAAGTTGCATCACACTACCGAAATGAAATACTCCCGTTCCGGCCTAGTATAATCAACATTATCAAGACAGTGCACACCAGCAATCGTGATGCAACAAGAATGAGAGACAACAGATGGGCAAAGCAAATTATTGATTGGAACCCATACAGTTAAAAGAACACAGGGCAGATTGCCAATTTATTGCAAGAATCCGCTTGAATGGCTGCACGGAATTATGTGGATGAGAAATGCCAAAAATAAAGAAGAATGGAGAAATTGCTAGCCTCAGGGAGGAAACGCGGCGATAAAGCAGCAGATAATCAAAAAGTACTATGAAAACTAAAGCATTAACAGTACTATTTCTCACAAAAAACTGTGTGTAAAAGAGGTAAGGTGTGCTGTCTGCTCGAAACGCAAGGAACTGAAATCATAAAAAAACGAAGCTGCCCTTTGAAATTACACCAAAAAGCGACAATCAATAGTGCAACATGCTTTTTTTTTCATTTTCTGATACCAAGAAAAATAAGATCGCCTGGGTTATCAGTGTGAGTATTCCGTGCCAGCGGAGTTACCAAAACCGGCAACACTATCAGTAAGTGGTTATTTTTAGTTGTATGCTATAAAGCTGACAATTTCCGAGCGCTTTCGCCTTTTTATAAAAAGAATGATTTATAAAAGAAGGGAGGAAGTTTGACTTTTGACTTTTATAAAAAAAAGGACGCATGATTTTTGATTTTTGCGATTTTTGCTCAGCTTGAACAAAATACTAGGTACTGTATTTTTAATAAATCCACGGTATTGCTCGGAAGAAATAGTTAATAAAGTGGGAAAAATTGGCCAACGCACGGGCTGCCCGTGCGAAGATGCGTTTTTTGCAGAGTTCCCCGCAGT